GGAGAAGGTGAGCACTGTATGCTCAGGCGCTGCCGTTCTCAGTGCCGTCAAAATAAAAGTCCCACCTCGACCACATCGGCCAAATAGGTATTTTTAGATCTGCGTGCGTTCGGTGTTAAAGAGACAGCAGCCTATAAACACTCTGCCTGTCATTAATGCATTAATGTTAATCAAAGAACAAAAGAAAAGAATTCACTGGTCTGGACTGAATTCATTTATCTATGAAAAGAAAAATGCAGTGTTTTTAAACTTTTAATTAGCAGTTTCTGTACCTGAAATTTGGTTCAGTTTAGGGCTGCATGGTTATGACAAAAATCCTAATTGTCGATTATTCCCTTGAATGATGGGAATAATCGATTTACATTGAATGATGTTTATACCATTGTTTGATGCAACTGCATGCCGTATTTTGCTGTTGAAAATAAACGAGCTGAAAACACTAACTGAAAAACTTTAGTGCTTTTCTATAGTATTAAGCCTCAAATGTCAAATATACATCAGATTGGTTTCTTCTTTAAATTCTAAAAAAGTAAAAATATGAATGGTATTATAATGTTATACTAAAATTAAAATAATAAGAGAATATGTAGAAAGAAAAAAACGCATCTTAAGCACGCAGAACATAAGTGGACTTTGAACGATTAATTGCCGCTTTGAACGATTCTCTTATGAATATTTGAAATGGTTCTTTGTGTCAGAGCGCTGGAGTTCGTCAGAAATAGAACGCGGCATCAGTTTACGGTCATGGATTTACGTGCCTCTACATACATTTCTGCAGCACCGTTATTACGTACCTTACTGCACATTTCAAAGTGAAACTTCCTTTGAGTGGCGCTAAAATGCAGGTTCAATACATGACCCTGGCACATATTTGTTAGGTTGATAAAGGCACATATTGCTGTGTTTGTATTACGTTGCTTTAGGAACGTATGGCTGTTGTTCAGAATTGAAATATCCGAGGAGTGTCACTAAAAGTCAAATCGTGCTCTATCGTGTTGGAAATATCCCCTACACCAAACCCAACCCTAAACCTACCCGATAGTGTTAACAAATGCAAAAGTGATATAAAAACGCATTTGTTGATGTAGTAATTATGCGAAAATTAGGCTTTATTAATCGAAACTGTGGACCTGCAAATCATACTTTCTGTGAAAAATAAAAATAAAGGAATAAAAGTTGTGTGAGTTTTACTGCCTCTAGTGTTCATTTCAACTGGAAACTGCAGCGTTTCGTATGTATGGGTATCGAGTTTCGCAGAAATGTAGGTAGAGGCACGTATTTCCAATGAGCCTATGTTGTAAACTTGTGTTTGAGGTTATTATTGTGCTGAAAGATGAAATTCCTCTTCTCTGCTTGTTGATGATTGGCGTCATGATATTCCAGGGCATATATATATATATATATATATAGCCTAATGTTTTGGAAATACTTTTGTACCATTCTCCTGACTGGTACCTCCTCACAATGAGATCCCGCTTATCCTTTATCCTGTTTTAAACTTTTTATTTGAATTGTCTGGTTTTACCCAGCCCTAAAAATCCTAAAGAATGCGCTAACATCATTTGTTTGCAGATGTCACTTGATATTTTGCATCTAGATAACTTGCATCTAGTTTGCTTATAGAATAACAGGATTGTGATATTTTGGGAATTTAATGTAATTAAAATGTAAATTGTTTTATGTCAATTTTGTATTGTTTGTTAGTTTTAGTTAGTTGTAGTGGTACGTTTTTAAAAGTCAGCCTATTTTGTTTGTCAGGGCTCCAGACTGCGACGAAAACAGTTGCATTTGCAACCAAAAATATTAATTTGCAAGTATATTTTTGCTGAGGTCCCCACTAGCGACTAGAGCTGTCAACATAGCTGAAAAACGAAATTCGAATTTTGTACTTAAATATTATCAAAATTCGAATTATATTCTAATTTAAAATGCATAATTTCAGTTAGGGTGAAGAAAAGCTTTTGGCTTCTCTCTTGAGGCCACAAGAGGGCGCATCGAGCAAAATATTACTAATGCACGTTTCATCAAAGCATAAGATAACACGTCTATCTGTGAAAAAAAAGTGCATAATGTTTAAAATAATGTTTATAAACCAATTATAATTAAGTTGCTTAAATGTCTATAAACAAAACAGCAGCATGTATGTATGCATAGTTTAATACAATGGACCGAAAGCCAATCACACAGAGTACATTTTTCATTTAAAAACACGAGATGCAGTGGGATGGGGAAAACCGCCATAAAGTCTCGAGATACGTTTTTTTCAAAGTTAAACTTGCATAAATTTTTCATGGCTTTCTAAACATGCGGCTCTTTTGTGCGAGACGCGAGTGCAACGGTGATAGATGTCCCTCTAGAAAATGCGTGAAATATGCGTTCTGTGTGAACGGCTTGGTTTCGGTTTTGATGTAAACAACATCTTTGCCGCATTGATGTTCTCTTTTCCGCTATATTTTTAATGAACAACGCAGCAGCGCTGCATCTAGTGGCTTCAACTGGACAGGCTAACATAAACATTATAATGCATCGTCATCGCGTCTCGTGCACCACTGATAATGCTGCCTGACGCACACCTAAAATTCGAATGCAACGTTTTTGCATTCTAATGTGGATTTTTATTTTAAATTCGACGAATATTCGAAATTCTAATTTTTTTGGACAGCCCTACTAGCGACTATATAAATTTACATGTTATGATTTTAAAATGTCAATGTAATGCCTTTTTTTTCGCATTTGTACACCTCAGGAGTACAAAATAAATATTAATGGACATCAAAATGTATATTATAAGAGCCTACAGTACATGTCATCACTCGTTCAGTGTTTCAAACTGCGGAAAACGTGTAAAGCTTGTAAACAATGCCACGTAACAATACATATATTGCATATTAATATTTTGACTTGACCTGTTGTCTACATGATGAGAAACATTGCAAGGAGCTAAAGATCAAATTCAACTCCTCCTATAAAATTGCATGTTTTTAATGAAGAAAATCAGACTGGATGTGTGCAAGACATAGGACAACATTTATAGGATGCATTGCAGAGGAGCCCAAACTACGCTCAATGGCAATGTGATGCTGACATGTTCCGTGATATTGGCACAGATTCTGTGTAATAAACAATTCTTTGTGACTGTATATAGTTCTCAAGTTTGAAAAGACGTTTAGTTCACACTTTAAGTTCACCTTAGTTCCCAGGACATCTACACGATGGATTAAAATGCTGATAAAGACACGAAAAGATGAGCAAAGTTTAAAGGGTTAGTTCATCCAAAACTGAAAATTAGCTTGTGTTTTACTCACCCTCAAAGCATCCTAGGTGTATATGACTTTCTTCTTTCAGACGAATCCAATCGAATGATCCTTGCTCTTTCAAGTTTTAGAATGTGAGTAGGCGGGTGTTTTTGTTCAAACAATCCAAAAGACGTCAAACAAAGCGCATCCATCCATAATAAAATGTGCCTCACACGGTTAATAAAGGCCTCCTGTAGCAGATCGATGCGTTTTTGTAAGAAAAATATCCATATTTAAAATGTCATAAATACTTTTCTCTCACTTACGCTGAAGAAAATTTTGGAGGATTTCGATATAAGCCAAGAGGCGGCTGATTTTCCTTTGCTAAAGTAAGGAAACGTTGCTCCTGTAAACAAACTCATGAGACTAACATATCTCACAGATGCGTGCGCGATGCATACGTCATCCGCAGGAACGGCTTGCACGTATGACAGTCAGCGGAAGTGAGAGAAAAGTATTTATAACATTTTTCTTACAAAAACGCATTGATTCGCTACAAGATATCGGAATCGGCTGTCAAAAAACCAATATCGGTCGACCACTAGACACAAACCTGTACATATTCAACCGCATTTGCTTCCCTTTAATTTGATCAGTGCTTCGCTGCAACATAGAATAGAACCATAGTCTCTTAATGACTCGCAGAAAGATTCTCTGCCGATCCGTCAGTCAATATTGTGTGATCATATTTCCCACATTACGGTGACGATAAACAGCTGTGTTCTGTCTCACAATGGATTTATGCATCAATGTATTGCATACAATATCTGCATTAGGTCACAGTAGAGCAAAAACTTTGTGTATTAATCTCATACTGTCACTATGAATTGTCTAGCAGTATTTACTGAACTGTTGTGTAAAATCACCTTTAAACTCGTGATATTCAGAACAAAATCATCGCTCGTGTAATACTGCTTCCCCTGCTTGCTCGTGTGATATCGCGTGATATAAATATGAGACAGAAACTCATACTGGGGCATTTTTATTGCACCAATATCTTGAATTTTAGGGCATAACTGCATTTATGGATCATATTTGTCAACAGGCAACTATATGAAATGTAAGATGATGTGCAGGTCTAGGGGCGGGGCCATTAAATATTTAATAAAACATTTTATATTGTTTAATGAAATATTTTAATCTCGCTAGGTAACATGTTAAAGCCTAATTATAACATATAATATTTTATACAATTTCAATTCCATTTGAACTATTTGTGAACCGTGTTATATTTTAAAATATGCACACATGCACTCATATGCCAAATAAGATTCTGGTCACATTCAGTTATGCATTACATGAATCACAAAAATGATAGCATATTTTCAATTCAACATTGTGAAGCCCAGAGCATCAAGAATATCAACGATTGGTGGGACAGTTTGGTCATTTCTTGTCCACCTTAACAGCTATATTAGTAGTTATGGCACTGATGTGTTCAGTTGCTGCATGCAGATAAAAAGTAATTACCATCTCAGTCAAAAAACCTTTATCATTTAGTTTTGAACATCTTCATACAGATGTACTTTAAGCAAAAAGTTACACTTTCATTTGTAAAAGTTGCTGCCTCCTTTCGCCATCTCTCATTGCAATATTGGAAAGTGTGCACTTGAAATCAGAGTGCATTGTGGGTCTCAATAAGTGAATGAATGCAGGGAATGACGTTGAACTCTCTGAAGAGTTCTGTTGATTTACATTAAATCCATGGGTTCTCTGTTTATCATCTTAATCTCACATGATCGTGAGCTCTCTGTATTATGGCAGTGTTGCAGTCTAATAAATCGTTTTCCTTTTGTTCTTTGTGCAGCGGATGCCAGTCACAGGCTCAATCTCTTCTACCTCGCTAACGATGTCATTCAGAACTGCAAAAGGAAGAACGCTGTCATTTACCGAACCACCTTCGCTGAGGTGCTGCCTGACGCCGCCCTGCTGGTCAAGTTAGTGAATCACATGCATGCTTGTGCAGGAGGGTGATTGGTACTGAAGCACTGACATTCTATGCTGACTCTCTGTGTGTTTGTAGGGATGCTAAAGTGTGTAAGTCAGTGGACAGGATCTTCAGTATTTGGCAGGAGAGGAACGTTTATCCTGAGGAGCTGATCTCTGAGCTGAAGGCCAGTCTGCAGAAGAAAGAGAAGAAGGAGAAAGTGAAAGAGAAACAGCCTTCTCCTGGTCAGTTTCTGAGCTGTAAGCTTCCGGTGTTTGTCATTGTTGCAAATGATTAAAATCACCTTATAAAATGAAAATGAGCAATCACGTTGTTTATAAATGTATTATTTACTTCAAGGGGTTTCGAAGTGTGGGGCGTGGCTCACCGGGGGGCGCCAGAGCATGCAAAAAATAATTATTAATTCGTAATTCATAATTTCAATCAATACATTATAGCGGAAATAACACTTCAAAAAGAGAAAAGAAGATTTTGAACAAGAGACATCATGTTTCCGCTCCTCGGCTGAACTGTGTGAGTGTGTGTCATTGAAACACAAATTTAGCTGCAGCCAAAGTGATGTTGTGCAACCCACAAGTGGGTTGAGACTCAGTTTGAAAACCCAAGTGACCAAGTGTAAAAAAAATATATATATATTTCTTAAAAAATAACTACTTTTTTTCCATTTCTGCAGCCCCAGTCAACCCCAAAACTGCTCTGAAGTCTAAAATTGTTGCAGAGTTTGTAGTAAGTCATGATCGTCTTTAGATATAATTGAACTATTGTTATTACACTAATAATTACTGTCTTTTCTCTCTGTCAGCCGCATGATTTTGTAGAGCGGTTAATGTCTTACAAGAACTCTCTGGACGAGAGTGATTTAAGAGAGAAGCAGCTAGCTGCTCTCAGAGTAGACGTCTGCAGCACCGAGGCCCTCAAAAGGTTCAAAGGTAATGTGATATTTACCAAAAACAGCACTATATAACTGCTTGGAGACAAGCTTTTCAAACTCTCTCTCTCAACTTACATCCATAGATAAAGCAGGAGGGAATAAGTTCTCAGAGGACTTTGAGGAGGGAAGCACAAAGCTGCAGGAATTTGTGACGTTCCTGGAGGGCCAGATAACAGCAGGACCCCCGCTGCTGGAGGCGCTGGGAAATGCAGACATCTTTTACCAGATGCAATACAAAGAGGTCAAAATTGTTGCCAATGTGAGTCGACTCTGATGTCTTGATGCTAGATTTGTTCATCAACCAAGTGGGCATGGTCCTACCATAAATATATCAAAACGTAATTTTTTATTAGTAATATGCATTGCTAAGAACGTCATTTGGACAACTTTAAAGATGATTTTTCTCCGTATTTAGATTTTTTTTGCACCCTCAGATTCCAGATTTTCAAATATAGTCCTATCCTAACAAACCATACATCAATGGAAAGCTCATTTATTTTATATTTATATATATATGCATAAATCTCAATTTCAAAAAGTTGAACCTTATGACTGGTTTTGTGGTCCAGGGTCACATATGCCAAGGATAAACGTAAAGAGAAAATAATGATCCAGCTGCATGTCTTACTTTATATGATTAACCGCTCACGAGTGACGCGCTCTGTGAAGGACCAGAAGTAGAATATATCAGAATATATCGCTAGGTTTCATTCATACAGAATGCACTTTTGTGTTGACAAAGTTGTGACGCAAGCAGTGGAATAAAAAAAAAAATGCAAGCACATGGGGGTTGAACTACTACTTTTAACTTGAGCGCCGTGTTTTTAGACTGGCCTTTCATGCATGAGACGCTGCAAGAGACGCGAGCGCAACAATCAAACATGTCCTGTTTGGAAAAGCAGCGCAATCGAATAAAAACCTGTAAAGAACTACTACTGTATGTCTGATATTTCATGTTTACATCATGGTGACAGACTGAAAGCTGCTGTTCATTGTTTTTATAGAACATGTGTGACCCTGGACCACAAAACCAGTCATAAGGGTCAATATTTTTGAAATTGAGATTTATACATCATCTGAAAGTTGAATAGATACAACTATTTGAGAATCTGAGGATGCAAAAAAAATCAAGATATTGAAAAAATCGCCTTTAAAGTTGTTCAAATGAAGTTCTTAGCAATGCATATTACTAATCAAAAATTAAGTGTTGATATATTTACGGTAGGAAATTTACAAAATATCTTCATGGAAAATTATCTTTACTTAATATCCAAATGATTTTTGACATAAAATAAAAATCTATAATTTTGACCCATACAATGTATTGTTGGCTATTGCTACAAATATACCCCAGCGATACCCCATATTATTTCTGAACATATAATATGTATAAGAAAACTCTGTACAAGATGTAGTTGTAGTTCATGTATCTTTTTTGCAAAGATATTTAACAAGTGATTTATTTATTTACTTCCAACTTCATGTGTGCTGCACTTGGAATACAACTAGAGGGTTAATAGAGAAAAAGTTACTTAAATCATGTTGTGGTTACATTTTTAAGTTGACTAGTTAAAAATCGAGAATCGGTAAAACGTTCTGAAAAAATGTAAATTTAATTTTTTTTGCCGTATTGCCCAGCTCTATCATGTATCCTCATATTGTGCTCCCTTAGGCGTATAAAGCTTTCGCCAATCGCGTCAGTAGCCTGAAGCGTAAGCTGGACGCTCTGAAGGCCACATTGCCCGGTCTGGATGACTCTCCCATCCCTTCCCCCTCTGAGGACGCCCCGTCTCCCACCGGCTCAGAGTCGCCCTTCCATAGCATGAGCTCCAGGAGCGGATTGGGTAGTGGGGATGGAAACGGGGGGAGTGGTTTGGAGCAACAGAAGGACAACAGAGACACAGAGGACATGGACATGTCTGAGGAAGAGGAAACGACAGCAAATGCTGGAAACGTTGGTAAGAGAAAGCAGAGATGACGGGACATTTAGACGAGTCAAAAATTTAACATTGAACTGACATAGTTGTTGTTTGTCCTCCAGTTGATGAGAGAACAGAGAAGTCAAGTCTTCCATCTGTGGCCAAGATTACAAATGCTACAGCAACAAAAAGCTCTCAGATCACTGCTTCTAGACCATCCCAGATTTTAGCAACTCCGACAAACACGGTGGCTGTGTCATCGACCAATCAAACGCCTCCAGCAAACACCACACCTATTACGACCACACCTGTACCTGCCCCTGTCGTTAGCCCCTCCCCTCTACAGGTGAACTTGGCCAATGTGGATCTGGGCAAGATCAGCTCCATTCTGAGCTCGCTCTCCAATGCAATGAAGACCACCGGTGAGTTTTCCGTTTGTAGAGCACAACAGACAGGTTCCGAAGAAAAATATACCAGTCAAATATAATGTTGTTTTTATGTTTAGAATGATAAGTATAACTTTCTCATTCCTTACCGATGTTCACCTTACTGTATTAGTGGGCATATACTACAACCCAAGGCCACTGAAAGAGTTTGAGAGGAGTTTGCTCATAAGAGCATTTTCTTCTTTCTCAATACCCAGGCGTTAGTCCTGTGTCCCGTCTTTCCCCTGGCACATCTACTACACCATCCAGCCATGCCTCCTCCTCCAAAGCCCATCCTTTGACCCCTGGCAGCATTCCCTCATCAAATCCTCTGGCTAGCATCTTGTCTAAAGTGGATTTCTCCCCCGGGAACATCCTGAATGTTCTCACAAAAACACAAACTCACAGCCCCAACCTGCAGGGTAGGACACATTACTTGTACACTACTGATTTCTAGGGATGTAACGATTCACTCGACTCGCGATTCCATTCACAATTTTGATTTGATTTTGATTTTTTTAACAAAATGAGATTGAAGACATTATACAGTAAATGAGAAGGTGTCCTTTCATAAGGCTATTGCTGCACGTTTCTTTGTGAAATTTAAATATAACAAAACTAAATTGAAATTTTAAGACAAACCCCAAATCAAATAAGCAAGTTACACAAATAAAATAAATCTCTTCATATGAAAAAACAAAGGCTTTGTCTGTGCTCTTTCCATTTAAAATGAGAAGCAACCACTGCATTTTAATCATAATCCAAACAAAGATGCAGCATACATGCAGCATGAGCAGTTTTTAATCTAAATTAGACTGTATAATTTCGAAATTTAAAGCAAAAACAGAATGGTTTTGTGAAACTATACTACATAAAACATATCTGAATGAAACCGCAGACGAGCTGAATGAGACACAGATTCACTCTCTGCCAGCAGGTGGCGCTTATGAACAGCAATTATTCAGTGTTTACTTGGTTACCGCTGTAAACAAAGCAGAGCTGCGCTTATGAACACTATTACACAGTCTAGAACACTAAACACAGTCAGTTCCTCTCAGAGATACATTCATATAAACTCCGACTCCAATTATATTGCAATTTGTTTGCCGTTTTCAACCGGCTTGCGGCTAATCGTTACATTCTTATTGGTTTCTGAACTGTTTGTCAAGATGGAAGATGGGGGAAACCTGTTTGAACCAGTAGTTATTTTGGTACTTATTAAATCTCTATCTTGCAGGTTTGTCTTCTCTCCTTTCATCAGCTCGTTCAGGCGCTCTCACCACTCCAGACCCTGTTCCGTCTTCATCTGCCTCAATTTTTTATTAGTAATATGCATTGCTAAGAACGTCATTTGGACAACTTTAAAGATGATTTTTCTCCGTATTTAGATTTTTTTTGCACCCTCAGATTCCAGATTTTCAAATATAGTCCTATCCTAACAAACCATACATCAATGGAAAGCTCATTTATTTTATATTTATATATATATGCATAAATCTCAATTTCAAAAAGTTGAACCTTATGACTGGTTTTGTGGTCCAGGGTCACATATGCCAAGGATAAACGTAAAGAGAAAATAATGATCCAGCTGCATGTCTTACTTTATATGATTAACCGCTCACGAGTGACGCGCTCTGTGAAGGACCAGAAGTAGAATATATCAGAATATATCGCTAGGTTTCATTCATACAGAATGCACTTTTGTGTTGACAAAGTTGTGACGCAAGCAGTGGAATAAAAAAAAAAATGCAAGCACATGGGGGTTGAACTACTACTTTTAACTTGAGCGCCGTGTTTTTAGACTGGCCTTTCATGCATGAGACGCTGCAAGAGACGCGAGCGCAACAATCAAACATGTCCTGTTTGGAAAAGCAGCGCAATCGAATAAAAACCTGTAAAGAACTACTACTGTATGTCTGATATTTCATGTTTACATCATGGTGACAGACTGAAAGCTGCTGTTCATTGTTTTTATAGAACATGTGTGACCCTGGACCACAAAACCAGTCATAAGGGTCAATATTTTTGAAATTGAGATTTATACATCATCTGAAAGTTGAATAGATACAACTATTTGAGAATCTGAGGATGCAAAAAAAATCAAGATATTGAAAAAATCGCCTTTAAAGTTGTTCAAATGAAGTTCTTAGCAATGCATATTACTAATCAAAAATTAAGTGTTGATATATTTACGGTAGGAAATTTACAAAATATCTTCATGGAAAATTATCTTTACTTAATATCCAAATGATTTTTGACATAAAATAAAAATCTATAATTTTGACCCATACAATGTATTGTTGGCTATTGCTACAAATATACCCCAGCGATACCCCATATTATTTCTGAACATATAATATGTATAAGAAAACTCTGTACAAGATGTAGTTGTAGTTCATGTATCTTTTTTGCAAAGATATTTAACAAGTGATTTATTTATTTACTTCCAACTTCATGTGTGCTGCACTTGGAATACAACTAGAGGGTTAATAGAGAAAAAGTTACTTAAATCATGTTGTGGTTACATTTTTAAGTTGACTAGTTAAAAATCGAGAATCGGTAAAACGTTCTGAAAAAATGTAAATTTAATTTTTTTTGCCGTATTGCCCAGCTCTATCATGTATCCTCATATTGTGCTCCCTTAGGCGTATAAAGCTTTCGCCAATCGCGTCAGTAGCCTGAAGCGTAAGCTGGACGCTCTGAAGGCCACATTGCCCGGTCTGGATGACTCTCCCATCCCTTCCCCCTCTGAGGACGCCCCGTCTCCCACCGGCTCAGAGTCGCCCTTCCATAGCATGAGCTCCAGGAGCGGATTGGGTAGTGGGGATGGAAACGGGGGGAGTGGTTTGGAGCAACAGAAGGACAACAGAGACACAGAGGACATGGACATGTCTGAGGAAGAGGAAACGACAGCAAATGCTGGAAACGTTGGTAAGAGAAAGCAGAGATGACGGGACATTTAGACGAGTCAAAAATTTAACATTGAACTGACATAGTTGTTGTTTGTCCTCCAGTTGATGAGAGAACAGAGAAGTCAAGTCTTCCATCTGTGGCCAAGATTACAAATGCTACAGCAACAAAAAGCTCTCAGATCACTGCTTCTAGACCATCCCAGATTTTAGCAACTCCGACAAACACGGTGGCTGTGTCATCGACCAATCAAACGCCTCCAGCAAACACCACACCTATTACGACCACACCTGTACCTGCCCCTGTCGTTAGCCCCTCCCCTCTACAGGTGAACTTGGCCAATGTGGATCTGGGCAAGATCAGCTCCATTCTGAGCTCGCTCTCCAATGCAATGAAGACCACCGGTGAGTTTTCCGTTTGTAGAGCACAACAGACAGGTTCCGAAGAAAAATATACCAGTCAAATATAATGTTGTTTTTATGTTTAGAATGATAAGTATAACTTTCTCATTCCTTACCGATGTTCACCTTACTGTATTAGTGGGCATATACTACAACCCAAGGCCACTGAAAGAGTTTGAGAGGAGTTTGCTCATAAGAGCATTTTCTTCTTTCTCAATACCCAGGCGTTAGTCCTGTGTCCCGTCTTTCCCCTGGCACATCTACTACACCATCCAGCCATGCCTCCTCCTCCAAAGCCCATCCTTTGACCCCTGGCAGCATTCCCTCATCAAATCCTCTGGCTAGCATCTTGTCTAAAGTGGATTTCTCCCCCGGGAACATCCTGAATGTTCTCACAAAAACACAAACTCACAGCCCCAACCTGCAGGGTAGGACACATTACTTGTACACTACTGATTTCTAGGGATGTAACGATTCACTCGACTCGCGATTCCATTCACAATTTTGATTTGATTTTGATTTTTTTAACAAAATGAGATTGAAGACATTATACAGTAAATGAGAAGGTGTCCTTTCATAAGGCTATTGCTGCACGTTTCTTTGTGAAATTTAAATATAACAAAACTAAATTGAAATTTTAAGACAAACCCCAAATCAAATAAGCAAGTTACACAAATAAAATAAATCTCTTCATATGAAAAAACAAAGGCTTTGTCTGTGCTCTTTCCATTTAAAATGAGAAGCAACCACTGCATTTTAATCATAATCCAAACAAAGATGCAGCATACATGCAGCATGAGCAGTTTTTAATCTAAATTAGACTGTATAATTTCGAAATTTAAAGCAAAAACAGAATGGTTTTGTGAAACTATACTACATAAAACATATCTGAATGAAACCGCAGACGAGCTGAATGAGACACAGATTCACTCTCTGCCAGCAGGTGGCGCTTATGAACAGCAATTATTCAGTGTTTACTTGGTTACCGCTGTAAACAAAGCAGAGCTGCGCTTATGAACACTATTACACAGTCTAGAACACTAAACACAGTCAGTTCCTCTCAGAGATACATTCATATAAACTCCGACTCCAATTATATTGCAATTTGTTTGCCGTTTTCAACCGGCTTGCGGCTAATCGTTACATTCTTATTGGTTTCTGAACTGTTTGTCAAGATGGAAGATGGGGGAAACCTGTTTGAACCAGTAGTTATTTTGGTACTTATTAAATCTCTATCTTGCAGGTTTGTCTTCTCTCCTTTCATCAGCTCGTTCAGGCGCTCTCACCACTCCAGACCCTGTTCCGTCTTCATCTGCCTCTTCTTCATCTTCAGCTGTCACCACAGCTGCAGCAACCTCCACCACAACAACCCCAACCACTCAGAAGGCCCTAAAGCCCACAGGCAACAATTTCAAGCGAGAGTCTGAGCGAGAGAAAGGGAGAGAGTGGGAGAAGGTAAAAGAGAGGGAAAGAGAAAAAGAAAGGGAACGAGTTAAAGAGAGAAAGAAAGAAGGTGAGACCGAGGCTGTGGTAGTGCCCAGCCTGGAGTCTAAGATCAACAGTTTCCTCCAGGGAAATCCTGGTTTCAGTGCTCTCGGACTTGGCTTGGATGAGGTGGGCAGCAATAGCCCTCTCCTTGTCGGTGGGGATAACCTGGATGGAACCCCTGTCCGAGATGAGAGCGGTAGCACACCCACCCAAGATGAAATTATGGACTCGCCCTATGTACTCGGTGAACCCCAGAGTGCAGGTCTGTCTGGAGGTCATAACCTTTCACCTACAGCCTATCACAGTGACCCCTGGGATGCCGTGATCACTCCACGAGAGGCTCTGGGAGAAAACGAGCGGAAAGACCGGGATTACCGCACACCACCACCCTCACGACTTGCCACCTTTAGCCCAAGTGCGACTAAACCGGTCAAGGCCGTGACTAAAACCAAAGAGGAGGAAGGGTTGAAGAGAAAAGTACCGGGTTTGAATGTTCCATCAGCTGCCATAGTGCAGGATCAGAAGTTAAAGGCAAAGATGGACGGAGATGGAGAGAAAAAAGCATCCTCCCGAAAGCCAAGTGTAGGATCTGACAATGGGACGAAAGACAAGGAAAGGAAAGCTTCAGCTGGCAATGGAGACCACTACCATCGCATTGAGACTCTTGTTTCTTCATCCTCCAGTGAGGGAGCACCAATTGAAACCCTTGATTATGGCAACCGCATCCAAACTGTGGAAAGCATCCGCGTGGTTGAGAGAGTCCTGAGAAGAGGGAGCAGTGCGGGTTCTAGAGTGGGCGGGGCCTGGTATGAAGAGGAGGAGTTTATGGAAGCCCCGCCTCCACATCACCCTGCTAGTCGTAGCCATGAGAGTTCTGAGGAGTTGGGATTGGTCCCTCCTCTTCCTCTTCCCCACCCTCCTCCTCTTCCTGCTCACCTTCCGCCCCCTTTGCAGTATCCACCTCCACCCTATCCAAACGAAGACCCCATACGACCTTCTCATGGCATTCCTCAGCACCATCCTCCCCCTCCGTTTTTTCCCTCTTCCATTCCTCCCATCCCTCAAACCCCTCCTCCTTCCAGAGACTTCCTCCTTTCCTCAAACTCCACCGTTATGGTTGGTGGTGTCCTTGTACCTATAGACCGAGTCCTACCCTATCCACCTGCCAACTTCCATCCTGATGGAGCGGGGCATGGAGGTAGCGGTGGTAGTGCCCCTCCCAGAGGCGGCAAACCCCAACTCCCTTCCTTGTTAGGAGATCCCCCTCGCCCAGGCACGGTGAAAGAGCAGTTCGTCTTGCGCCACAACCCACCTCTTCACCGTCCTGGCACCCCGGGAGTTCCTCCACCCCTCCTGGGCAGAATTCGAGAAGGCCCCAGTCCCACACCACCATCACCCTCTACCCCAACCACACCTACTCCTCCATCCCCAGCTGGGGAACCCCATCCTCATTTGTCTGTCCCCAACCACCTACCCCTCCACACCCCAAATCAGAGACCCCGCCGCCCTTCCTCCCCTCTGCCCCTCCTCCAATTCCCAAACCAGCATCACGTGCGTCGTTCCCCACAGTTTCCCAGAGGTTCCTTGCCCCTTAACAGTGAACCCCTTCTACCTGGGACAAAGCGTCCTGCTGCTGGTTTTGGCAGTGGGCCTTTCAACCCACCCAAAAGACAGTTTCTGCCCCCTCGATATTAGCATCTCAGAATGCTCTCTGTACAACGTGAAATAGGAAGTGTAGCAAGTTGCATCACCTGCTAATCTCAGCGTGAGAGTTATACCGCATGTAAAAATACACATGCACCGATACGCCCTGCCCCATGTTACAGCACTACTCCTCTCAGTGAAAGAAGTTTTCAGATACCCTAAAGATGAACTAGGAGGAGGAGAATGTGGAGATCCAGAAACATCCATGGAATATGAAAGAAGGCAAAAGGTGGTTATGCTGTTCGATTGGTGTAATATGAGAGAGTGGTTGTGGAGAGTGGTTGTGGTGTGTGTGTGTCTGTGTGTGGGCTATGGATGACTTGTAAGTAGATATGCTGACTATCTCTTTCCTTCCAGTAACTGTTCCTTCACTTCTCCACCTTATAGCACTTGCTTTTCTTTTCTTTGATGTAAAATACTTATGCTGTTGAGGAGTTACAGATTACAGGGGGGGGGGTAAAACTGTTATTCTTTCACTTTGTGTGCAAAGCCAGTGGATTTCAACTTTTATTCCTGAGTGATTAAATTATTGGCAAAGATGTAATGCTGGGCAACCATAATGGCTTGTAGTGATAAAACATATATAGCTACTTTATCAACTTTCACCAAGATGTGAAGATTTAGGCTCACACTGTGTACAGTATAAGCTAACCAAGTGTTAAAGGCATAACTACTCGGTAGTGCTTTTCAAGAGTTCCTTTGTGGGGTTTTTTTCTTGATAGAGTTCTTACATGTGTTCTGATTAATAAAAGCGTTGTGACAAGAAATATTATTGAAAGGAAGGAGACTTTTTTTACAGGTGGTCTCATACTTTGTTCAAGAACAAATGTACCTGGATTATTTTCTGTCATTTTGTTTTTACTTAACAGCAATTCTGTTCTCTCCTGTAAGTCTTCTAACTCCATGATGTCCAACACGTTTACAGGAATGCGCAGAGCTTGAATACACCGCTCTGAATACGATGTCCAAATGATAGTTGAGGAAAGAATTAGTTTGGTTTCATTACTTTTGGTTTTCCATTGTATCTGTTAATCTTTAAAGTCAGTTCTTCATCTTTAGGATGTAAGATAATGACAATGAATTGTGTTCTACACAAGCCACACTTTCATGCATTGTTCGTAAAACGAAAGCAAACAGTACATCTTTTCACACCAATGTTGATGCACTGCTTTTCATCAAAATGTCTGTCAATTTAAATGTGAATATAACATGTACATCGTTGTAGTTCTCATGCATTGTGTAAACAGTTGAAATCGTTCTTCAAGTGCTGACGTTGAATATTTGAGGAGTGTGGTTTGGTGTCTTCTTTTGCATTCATTGCCAGGAGTATTTCAGAGAGCCCACACATTTATATATAACAATATTTGTGATGGCAGCCTTGTTGCACATCAGCATGTTATGCACAAACAATGAAACTTCGAATGCGTAAATGCAGTGAGTCTTCAGCTGTGACAGAAAAGTGAAATTGTAAATCGCTTCTTCAGTTAAATCAGCTTCTATACATTTTATACCAGCTGCATCGCAACAGAGTTACTTCCCAATCTTGCTGTAAAAGCTGGTCTCATTCAGTCATATCAAAGGTACAGATAGCTGTCTGGTTGAACAAGTTAAACTAGTATACTGTACTATTCTCAAAAAAACTAATCCTTGTAGTGCCTAATTGTTCTGCAACAACCTTCAGACGTTCCTCACAACAGCTGCCATAATGACTTCTCTCAGAAGTCCAATCAGGTTTCTTTGCAAACAGAGTTTGTTCTCTATTGATTATTGCAGACTTGAGTTTTGTGGCCCTACAGTAATGATATTGATGATTGATGGTAAGCTCTGTTTTAAGAAACTAAACAAACAGCACATTTAAACTTTTTTTATTTTGCATTTATATTCCTGACTCTTACAAAGATTTATCTATATAATATATATCTTCACACCGTGACTTTTAACATTCTAATTTATTGAGATGCACCTGTATGTTGTGTTACAGTGGATTCTTATTCATTTAAAGGGAATGTGCCAGACGTCTGCACACACACATCCAGCTAAACATCTTCAGATTAGATGTCATGTCAGATTTGTTTAATTGTGACGTCCCTAATGATCACTGATATTGTATGTGCAACCAAACATTGTCACAGTATTGTATAGAATATTTAATAATGTCACCGATGATGATCAATGATTACTTGATTGTGTGTTCATATCTGAAACATTGTGCACTTGTTGAATTTGGCTTAGTTTTGTAAACTTCCTATGGCAGTGAATGCTTATTAATGTCCCCCAATGTTAGCCTTTTCAGTGACCATGCAAATATATAGTTTATACAGTGTTTGCACTGAACCCAAGCCGTTGAAAGCTAATAGGGAAGGAGTGTGGTTTAATATAATACTAACAGACACCAACATCAGATTTGGTCGCTTGGAGCTGAGATGGAGCTTATTGAAATTTAAGTGTTACCTTTTTGCAGTACTCTGCATAGTAAACCTATTTTTCAACACACTGGAAGTGTTTCGCTTATCTATAATAATTGATTGCATGTCCCTATAAAGGCTTCCTCAGGAGACAGCACTCACTAGTGCACTAGTATGATAATTATCCACTTATACACATTTTATTATATCTTATCCGTTTTGCATTTCGTCTCTAGGGTCCTGTAGAAATATCAGGGTGGTGTTGTGAGTGCATGTAGATTTGTATTAATGTATTAAGCTCGTACAGAGACGCAGAAGTGATGGAGCAGAGGAGTTTAACTTGAGCTTGTTTCTCTAAATATATCATGTTGCTTTGGTTCGAAATAGATGTAGTTTTCCGCGCATAAACCTCCACTGTTGTCTATTTTCTCAGTCCTCCGTGGAGCCCGTGGAGCTGTCGGGGAATGTTTACTTGCGCGCTGAGTGGACGCTCGTGAACCGCGCCAGGCTTCGCTTCTCATTGGTTGTTTCTCACGCAGAGCCCGCCCTCTTTCGAATTTCTTCGGCGAATCGGGTTTCTTGCTCTGTGACGACGCGATAGTTCCGGGAAAATGGCGGCCCCCTGAGAGGGGGCAACGTGTGATGTTTGTAAGAGGCACGATGAAGCCGTAGCTTTGAGTTTGGGGTGTTAGATGCTCTGGAGGAGCCCCGTCTGTCAGGGCTGTGTGTGTGTTGTTATGTGACACACTGACATCTCATAACGGGACTCGTTTTAGTGTAGCTTTGAGAATGGGCTTGACATTGCATGTGTGTGTGTGTGTGTGTGTGTGTGTGTTCTTGTATAAAGTGAAAGTTTTCGATATAGATTATTGGACATTTTAAATTAGAACTTTGTATTATTTGTGCATGCATGCATTTTGTTTATGCATTGTTTTGGGGTGTATGCATTTAAAAAAAATGCATACACAATTATTATTTTTTTCATTTATTGTGCTTGACATCTGTTCATTGCTAAAGGTGCGAAAAGGTCTCTATGGCGACTAGTGTACTAGTGAGGATTAAACGTCTGAGACCACATTAAAAAAATCAAGTTCAAAATGTGTTCGGATTAATTTTAGGATTTTTGCAGAAAGAAAAAAAAAACATGCAATTCAAAGTAATGTCATTCTGTGTAATAAACAAGAAATGTGACTGATCTGTCACTGAAGCTTCAAAACCTGAAAACACCCAAAACCTGATGTATTCTCATATTAATATTCATTTTAGTTCAACTCGTATTCTGATAGGTAATTTGTTATGGAATAAATGCAGAACACACACATCTGTGACCCTCACTGTATATTCCTATGTAAAGTCTGATATAATTGTGCCACTGATATCAAGAGAACTACTCATTTAGTTCTCTGACCTTGAAGTATTACTTTAACACAGGCTATTTTATGCATTTGTTTCTAGAGGCAGGTGTAACCATCTGTGATTAAATGTGACTGGAGGAGCACAAAGCATGGAGAGAGGATCTGATTATCCGATTGGCTGACGGCAGGACGGTCAAAGGTCAGCTGGAGTGACCTCGCCGTTACAGATGGCCGAGAGTGAACGGTAAAAATAAGCCTCAAACCTCATGACTTGCTATGAACCATTCTTTAGGTCAGTGGTTTTCAACCTTTTTGATTTGAAGGTCTCACAATGACACAATTTTCAAAGCATATATATATATATATATATATACACACACACACACACACAGACACACACACATATATAGACACACACACACATATACACACACACACACATATACACACACACACATATACACACACACACATATACACACACACATATATACACACACATATATGCACACACATATACACACACACATATATACGCACACATATACGCACACATATATGCACACACACATATACGCACACACATATACGCACACACATATACACACACACATATATACACACACACATATATACACATATACACACACACATATACACACACACATATATACACATATACACACACACATATACACACCCTACCAGTCAAAAGTTTGGGATCAGAATGATTTTTAATGTTTTTACAGGAGTTTACAGGAGTGTCTTTTGCTCATCAAGGCTGCATTTATTTGATCAAAAATACAAGAACAAGTTTAATATTGTGAAATATTATTATGATGTAAAATAAAGTTTTTCTATTTTAATATACATTAAACTGTAATTTATTTCTGTGATGCGCAGCGGTATTTTCAGCATCATTCCTCCAGTCTTCAGTGTCACATGATCTTCAGAAATCAGTATAATATGCTGATTTATTATGAATATTTGAAACTGTTGTGCTGCTTCATACTTTTTTTCAGGATTCTTTGATGAATAAAAAGTTACAAAGAACAGCATTTATTTAAAATAGAAATATTTTCTAACAATATACACTACCGTTCAAAAGTTTGGGGTCAGTACATTATTATTCTTTATTTTTGTGAGAGAAATTAAAACTTTTATTGAGCAAGGATGTGTTCAATTGTTAAGAAGTGACATAATAATAATTTTGAATAAATGCTGTTCTTTTTAACTTTTTATTCATCAAACAATCCTGAAAAAAAAGTATCACAGTTTTCAAAAACATTTGGCAGCACAACTGTTGATAATTCTAATAATAAATCAGCATATTATACTGATTTCTGAAGATCATGTGACACTGAAGACTGGAGGAATGATGCTGAAAATACAGCTGCACATCACAGAAATACATTACAGTTTAAAGGATATTAAAATAGAAACCATTATTTTATATTGTAATAACATTTTGCAAGATTACTGTTTTTTTCTGTATTTTTGATCAAATAAATGCAGCCTTGATGAGCAGAAGAGACTCCTTTAAGAACATTACAAGTCTTACTGATCCCATACTTTTGAACGGCAGTGTGTTTTTTTTTTTTTTTTTTTGAGTAAGTAATTGGGAAACAAACAGGAAAAATTAATATGATTTATATTATTTGTATTATTATATTCATTTGAATAATTTTACGTTGTCCTAAGGCCCCCTTGGAAGTTTGGTGAGGCCCTCAGATGAGAGATTTATTTATTTATTTTTCACAGAAAATAGTGTGCGTGCGTGTGTGTGTGTGTGTGTGTGTGTGTGTGTGTGTGTGTGTGTGTGTGAGTGTGTGTGTGTGTGTGTGTGTGTGTGTGTGTGTGTGTGTGTTAAATGTGCAGTGGTGTACAGAGTGAATGGAGATCTGTGGGATCTAAGTCTCTCTCTGGTGGAGGACTGCGTGAACTGCAGCTGCTGGGTTTTGACTCACTGGAGGGCAGACAGGTACAAGCTTTTGATTGTTTAAGAGTTTTGCCTTCGAGCGTTAACAATGAACAAGTAAACACTGTCTCTTCTCTTTCCAGCCCCTGATATTAGCACTGCATCTAGCGTAGGGCTGTGCAATTAATCGAAATTGCGCCCCATTCCACCCCCTTTCCAGCGCTGCGCTTTCGTTCCTCCATAAAAGCCCAGTTTCATGTGCAAATCAGTGAAATCATGTAACTTCTGCAGCATGGGACGTGCTCAGAGACACACATGTAAAGCGTAAAGTCATCTTTTAGCTCAAGGTGCGCGCCTAAACTAATGCTGCACTTAGTGATTATTCACGTAAACCCTCGTCGGTCATAAATGAACATAAAGAGTTGAGAATGAAAATACATTCGTTGGATCCGTGTGCTCTTGTGACAGCGGGCTAATATTCCTGACTGTGCTTAAAATACAAAAGACCAGATCACTCACTGCTCTTGACTGAAGGGCTTTTGTAGCTTCAATAAGAAACGAAGAAAGTTTAATTCTTACAGTGAAGACTATGCTGTTTGTTTTTTTTACGTTTACAGCCTAGCCTACTTTAGACTTGCATTAGCCTTTAAAAAATCCCTTCAAGCACAGTTTGTTTCATTTGTATCTTTCAAATCTGATCATCAGGCTTCTGAGGAGCGTTTATTTCTTCATCTCTCAGATTAGATTGCATTGCATTATATGTTTGGATCATTTAAATCTCATCTTACTAAGACATATTATTGGAGATATAGAGTGACGACTCATATTTATATCATATACACTGTCATAAAGATCTCATTGATTTACATTACAAGCATCAGAATTCCATCTTACTTTGAGATCATATCAAAATCAGCATCTGCACCAAATTGCATATTTCTCAAAATAAAAAGTAGCTGTTTTTTCCTCCATATTTTCACTGTATATGAGCCACAAAAGCCTGATGGATCAAATATTACTGTATACTCGACAAGTAAAGCATTTTTTGAGATTTTCGAAGAAAAGTAAAAGTTGAGAATTGTAATAATATTTCACAATATTACTGTATTTTTGATCAATTAAATGCAGCCTAAGTGAGCAGCACTTTTCAAGTCTCGCCAACCACAAACGTTTGGACCGTGTGTTTATTATAAAGTGTGTCATTTAATTTACATAACTTCTCTCAAATTGTAAGACAGTTGTCAGATTATTTCTTCGTATGAATGGTGTCCTGTGTGCAGTGTGATGTTGGAGCAGCGGGTTCGAGCAGATTTTGGCGCGCTGCACCGTAACGAACACTCGGGGGCGCTGGGGGGTTTACCCAGAGTCCGGCGCTTCTGCTAGGACCGCGCGCACATCTTCTGCACACCTGAGCAGGTACAGCTTCAAAGCAATTCAGTCGTTTTTGCAAAAGGATCAATCATATCAAAAAACACAAGTGTTGACATTTTTTATAACCTTTTTTAAAACAAAGAGCGATAGAAAAAAAGTTTACATTTAACTACTGTATTTTTAAATTAACTCTATTTATTGAGACAAACAACAAATTTTTTTTTTTGTTTTAACAGTCAAAAACAAAATTAAACGTATCTAAATTTATATGCAGATTAAATGGGTTAAACTTTTGGCTTGTCTCCCGAGGCCACAGGAGGGCGCAATGAGCAAAATAATGCAGCACATTTGAAATGTTCAACGCAAGGAAGTAATAGTCTATAAAAAAACGTGCATTACGTCTAAATTAACTATTTTCGTAAATTGCATAAACAATTATGAACAAAACAGCGTCATGTATTTATGCATTGCTTAATCCAAAGAGCCGAATCACACAGATTGCTTTTAAAAACATAAGAGACGCAGCGAAAAGGAATAAACCTCCACAAATTTGCGACGTGTTTTCTAAAAGTTTAAACTGTTTATTATATCGTTATCGAAGAAGGTGTACCGTCGATAAATATCGATACCGTTTTATCGCCCAGGCCTGTCTGTGAGTTTGGGTTGCTTAACGTTCATCTGGGAAAACAGTAATGTAAATCATTTATAAACCTATTTCAACACAGGAGAATACATAATCATACTTCTACATATGCGATGTGTTGTACGTCGCGTCTCGCGATTTCAAAATAAAAGTTCAAACCCTCGCTCTGAGTTTGCTTGTGGCCAAATATTAAAATTAAATGGATTTAAACGTCATTGAGTCACGCTGTAAAGTGAATCTCTGCAGGTATTTATTATAATACTTAATGTACTTAATTTGGTTATAGATGTATTAGTTTATTTTAACAGTGTTGTTCAATAAAGCCATGCGATTACTTGGTTTTGATACTTTTTTTGAACCAATTATTGTCTCATCGTTAGTTTAATATATATATATATATATATATATATACAGTATATAAATGTAGTCATACTAAAGCCTGTTTTTCACTTATTTTTATTACTAAAAAAATATTAGATTGCTCAATTGTCAAAATAATCAGAAGATTACTTGATTACAAAAATAACTGTTGTTACGGCTCTAGATTAGTTAAAATATTTCAGAATACAACTACGTACAGCTCAGCTTTTTGTGATTAAAAGACAAATATTTGGTCATTGAATATTTCTTAAAATAGTTTTAAAATATCGTTGCAGTCTAGTGAACCAAGTATCTGTATTTAGTCTCCTCTCGTGAGCTAAGTGTATAGTGTCTGCGAGCGTGATATAGCTCATGACTTCACAGGTGTATGATGAAGCTTTTGCTCTTCAGGTTAAGCATATACTCATGAAAAAAAAATCACTTTGAATAAGGAAAGCGATAGCTTTGCCATAGTATCCTTTCAAATGTTGGAGTTGCCACAGTCATTGCATGCTTTGCATGTGCTGCACGTTATTTGTACCTTTTGTTTTATTAGTTTATTTATTAGAATTTGAAAGATAATAGCAATAGTGATCTCTGATTTCAGTCCTTGAAAACCAAAAAAGTAGTGCTTGAAAAGTCCTGGAATTTCATTTTGCAGTTTCTGTACGAATCCTGGATTTTTGTTTTTAAGTATGTCTTTCGTTTTAATATTTATAGTTTGTCGTATTTGTTATATATATATATATATATATATATTTTTTTTTTATGTTTTAGTCATTTTATTATTTAAACGTATTTATTTTAGATAGTTACCAAGGCAACATTTCATTATTTGTCATCTTATGTCTAATTCAATTTAGCTTTAATTTGTTTTTAAGTTTTATTTTAAGTAACTTAAACTTAGTTATATCAGTTAGATGACAAAGCAACGTTTCAGGATTTTTTTTTTCACTTCATTTTTATTTCTGTTTTAGTAATTTTAGTTCTTCAGATGAAACATATTTCACTTGGATAGCTGCCAAGGCAACATTTCTATTTTTTTAGGTTTTATAAATGTATATTTTGTTTGTGTACAATATTTCTATTTAGCGTTAATTGTTTTAGTCATTTTAATACTTTAACTTAAGCATATTTCAGTTAAAAGGAATAGCAAAATTTTGTATTGTTTACATGTAATATTTATTTTTTTCTTTATTAAATTTTTTTTTAAATTTTTGAAAACAATTTTTGATAGTTTTAGTTAACAGTAGCACGCGTCGGAGGCTGTTAGTGTTCCTGCAGTTCTGTGGGGATTGTAAGATCCTGTCTGTACTTGTACTAACATACAGTATGTGTATATATTTTAGGAAACACGTGGCGTAAGCGTAGGGCAGGTCCAAACAGACGGCTAGCGTGTCAGAGATTCATTAATGTTGATCAGGGTCACCGTGTGGAATGAGGCGAGCAGGTCACGAGCGTAGAAAGTAAATGATTCAGAGTATGCCGTATATAAAGCACACTACACACTACAGGAGCTCTTAAACCAGGGATAGTTCACCCAAAAATGAAAACCTGAAGAAGATATTGGTATGGAAAAATACTATGGAAGTCCGTAGCTACCGTCAATTTTTGGGTGAACTATCCCTTAAATGTATAACATGCCCAAGGCCTTTGCTTTATGGTGATGGATGTGGTTTCCAGGCCGGGTTGTCTGGTGTCTTGTCTAATATCTCTCCTAGCGCTCTCTCCCTCAAACTAATGCTGCATGTTTTGGGATTACTGAATTAGATGTTTACAGCAGATTCTTTTAGTAGTGTTTCCAGGGCCAAATCCGTACACTGACACATTCCAGGTTTTCCTCTGTAACGCCTCTCTCTCTCGTGTTTGTCCCGGAGACGGGATGTTTTATGGACCAAAGGTGAGGCCGGCAGAAAGATGCATGTTTTCTGGCCAGACACTGCATGAAAACTTAATTTGTCACTCTGCATGTCTGTTCAAAATAATCTAGTGAAGCTAAACTCACACTTGAGATATTCACTTTCTGTTATACATTCATATAATATTTAACCTTGATGTGGATAAGTCTATTGACGCATTGTGCATCAGTTACCCATTAGTGTCCCTGGAGCACAAAAGCAGTGTTGAGTCTCTGGGGTATATTTGTAGCAATAGCCAACAATCAATTTTATGGGTCACAATTATACATTTCTCTTTTATGCCAAAAATCATTAGGATATTAAGTAAAGATCATGTTCCATGAAGATATTTTGTAAATGTCCTACCGTAAATATATCAAAACTTAATGTTTGATTAGTAATATGCATTGCTAAGAACTTCATTTGGACAACTTTAAAGATGATTTTCTCAATATTTAGATTTTTTTTTGCACCCTCAGATTCCAGATTTTCAAATAGTTGTATCTCAGCCAAATATTGTCCGATCCTAACAAACCATACATCAATGGAAAGCTTATTTATTCAGCTTTCAGATGATGCATAAATCTCAATTTAAAAAAAATTTACCCTTAAGACTGATTTTGTGCTCCAGGGTCACATATATACTAAGATATGAGGTCAGTGTGTTTTTGAAATGTTTTTGAATCTCTTCTGCTCAGCAAGGCTGCGTTTATTTGATCAGAAGTAAAACAGTAATATTGTGAAATATTATTATAAAGTAACCGTTTTCTATGTGAATATATATGGTAATAAAATTGATGCTGCGCTGTATTTTCAGCATCATTCCTCCAGTCTTCAGAGTCACATGATCTTCAGAAATCATTCTAATATGCTGATCTGCTGTTCGAGAAACATTTCTGATTATTATCAATGTTGAAAACAGTCGTGCTGCACAATATTTTTGTGGGAACCTTGATGCATTTTATTTTTCAGGATTCACAGCTGAATAGAAAGTTTAAAAGAACAACATTTATTTGAAATAGAAATCTTTTGCAACATAAATATCTTTACTCTCACTTTTTCTGAGAAATAAGTTGCACTTGAGAGTATAAGCCGTACCACATCAAATCGCATCGTTCAAAGAAAACAAAAACACAGATAAGTTGTGAGTGAGTGAGTGAGTGTGTGTGAGAGAGAGAGAGTGTGTGTGTGTGTGTGAGAGAGAGAGAGAGAGAGAGTGTGTGTGTGTGTGTGAGTGAGAGTGTGTGTGTGAGAGAGAGAGAGAGAGAGAGAGAGAGAGTGTGTGTGTGTGTGTGAGTGAGAGTGTGTGTGTGAGAGAGAGAGAGAGAGAGAGAGAGAGAGTGTGTGTGTGTGTGTGAGTGAGAGTGTGTGTGTGAGAGAGAGAGAGAGAGAGAGAGAGAGAGTGTGTGTGTGTGTGTGAGTGAGAGTGTGTGTGTGAGAGAGAGAGAGAGAGAGAGAGAGAGAGTGTGTGTGTGTGTGTGAGTGAGAGTGTGTGTGTGAGAGAGAGAGAGAGAGAGAGAGAGAGAGTGTGTGTGTGTGTGTGAGTGAGAGTGTGTGTGTGAGAGAGAGAGAGAGAGAGAGAGAGAGAGTGTGTGTGTGTGTGTGAGTGAGAGTGTGTGTGTGAGAGAGAGAGAGAGAGAGAGAGAGAGAGTGTGTGTGTGTGTGTGAGTGAGAGTGTGTGTGTGAGAGAGAGAGAGAGAGAGAGAGAGAGAGTGTGTGTGTGTGTGTGAGTGAGAGTGTGTGTGTGAGAGAGAGAGAGAGAGAGAGAGAGAGAGTGTGTGTGTGTGTGTGAGTGAGAGTGTGTGTGTGAGAGAGAGAGAGAGAGAGAGAGTGTTTGTGTGTGTGTGTATGTGCGAGTGAGTGAGTGAGAGTGTGTGTGTGTGTTTGTGAGAGTGAGTGTGTGTGTGTGTGAGAGAGAGAGAGAGAGAGAGAGAGAGAGTGTGTGTGTGTGTGTTTGTGAGAGAGAGAGAGTGTGTGTGTGTGTGTGAGTGAGAGTGTGTGTGTGTGTGAGAGAGAGTGTGTGTGTGTGTGTGTGAGAGAGAGAGAGAGAGAGTGTGTGTGTGTGTGTCTGTCTGTGTGTGTGTGTGTGAGAGAGAGAGAGTGTGTGTATTTGTGAGAGAGAGAGTGAGTCTGTGTGTAAGAGTGAGTGAGTGAGTGAGTGTGTGTACCTACTTAACCGTATTTTGGGGACAAATTTGTACAA